TTGGATAGTTTCATTTATAGCAATTACTAATGTACTAGCACTGCTTTACATATAGCAATTGCACTGCAGCCATAGAGTCAAAGCCAAACCTGTAATCTCACTCAGAAGACAAAGAAAATCCCCTGGCTACATGCCATTCATTATTTTTTCGCTGTTATTCCTAGGCAAAACATTTTAAGACAAACAACTCCATTCTGCAGTTTTCTTTCCTTTTATTTTCTTTTTTTTACAATTCTGATTAAAATATTTATTCTTACACAAAAACTATCAAATCAAAAATAATCTCATCTGTCTTCTATTACAAATATGTTCTTGTTCGTGTATATATCTGACTATGAAAATGCGATATGAAATATCTGATAATGGATTCAACTCTTTCTTCTCTCTGATTCAGGGTGGTGTATTATCTTCTAAATCTAGTAAAACAGGAATATGAAAGTCAATGTTCCAGAAGTCCAGAAACTTCTACTGCAGCAATAATTCTTTTCATTGAAAATATTCTTATCATCTGATGTTCTCTCATACATTTACCTCTTGTGAGAATCAAAAGTTGTCATAATATGCCTCACCAGGTTATCCTCTGCTGGATGATTTGTTGATCTAAAGTTGACTTCAATTCTGTCTGAAGATTAAAGACTCAACAAGATGTATGTCACTGCCAACATCAACTATCTGTCATTGCTCTCAAGTACATTTGAGCTGTGATATTTACCTAGTTATTGCTGTTTTGTAAGCAGAAGACAAAATGATGTATACCTTAGCACTTAGCCTTTCCAGACACCTTACCCTCTGATTTAACACTAAGTCCTCACTCTTTGCTTAGAGCTCCCAAATCAAACCCACATCAATAATTTTCCTTGTGAAAATTTAGTAGCTAAATAGACTTATATACAAGTATACTTGAAATATCAAATATTTCATTTAGAAGCAGTATTCAAAAACGCCAAAATATCCAAGACCTTCCATAATATTGTCTTATGAAAATAATTAACATTTCCGATACACATTAATATTCGTCTCTGTATGTATATATAGTACATTAAATAAAAGAACAGCTATTTGAAGTTTGCAAGCTTATCTCTTTACACAAACAAAGAGAGCATTACAAAAATTAACACAAAGTTCCTCTGTAATTTGTGCCATAACAAAAAGAGCAGTTTCAGTGCCGTACTAACAGGTGAGCTATCAACACACAACATTCAATAATACTTAAAAACATCAGGAAGATTTGACAAAAAAGTGCTGAACAGTTCAGGTACAGAGTCTTGGAGTGGATTTTTGTATTATTTCTTCTTAGACGACATGAGTGATTATGCATTATTTTCTGGATAGGCTAGAATTACTACCATGATATAGAATTATATAAGTTACATACACACACATATATATATAATATATATGTATGTATAAGTATCTATAGCTTAGCAAACTCTATGTTTCGTGATATAGAATTATATAAGTTACATACATATATATATATATATAAAATATATATGTATGTATAAGTATCTATAGCTTAGCAAACTCTATGTTTCCACTGAGGAGTTATTAGGTTTAATGAATCTTGAAAAACAATATTTCTGAACAAAAGTTCCCAGGTAAGAGGAGGATGGTGAGTGCTTTAACACCATGTTTGAGGGAAGTCCTACAACAAAGCGTTTTCTAACATTCTCCGGCCCTTCCAGGCAAACATTTGCATAAAAAAAAGCAACAAAAGTATTGAAATAAATAAATCATGGGTGTAAGCTAGTGAGATAAACATATTGGAGGAAAAGTGAATAAGTGGGAATTACATAAAAGCTATTGATGAGCAGAAATCCCATCATGTTAATGCAATTGAAAGAACAGTGATTGCTGCTAGAAACAATGAGACCTTTTTCCTTGTTTCCCAAAAAGGGTCTGATAAAGGCTCTACATTACCTTCTACTAGAACAATCTACTTGTCCCCTGAACATCAGTGGTGTTCCCCAGGGCTCAGTGTTGGAGCCAGCCTTCTTTAGAGTCTTTATTACAGAATCACAGAATCACTGGGTTGGAAGAGACCTTCAAGATCATTAAGTCCAACCCAGGTCATCAAGTCCAACCCAAAGACCACTGAGTACAACCCAAAGTCACTATTGTTGATCTGGATGTGGAGATAAAGTACGTCCTAAGTCATGTTCCAAACAAAATTTGGGTGGGAAGATTGATCTACTAGAGGGAAGGAAAGATATTCAGAGTCACCTGAACCAGGTGGACAGTGGACCAAGGACAATTGTATGAGCCAGGTCCTGTCCTTGGTTCACAACAGCCCCAGACAGCTCTAGAGGCTTGGGGAAAAGTAGCAGGAAAGCAGCTTGGCAAAAAAGCACCTGGTTGAAAGCCAGTCAAACATGGTCCAGCAGTGTGCCCAGGTGGACAAGAAGGCCAAAGACACCCTGGCTGTATCAAAAATAGTGTGGCCAGCAGGACCAAGGAAGTTTTTGTCCTATTGTACTCAACACTGGTGAGACAACACCTCAAATCCTGTTTTCAGTTCTGGGCTCCTGTCCTGGTTTTGACCAGGACAGGGTTAAATTTTGTAGCAGACAGGAGGGGACATTCCTAACACCCAGAGGTTATTCTATACCACCTCACAGTTTTTCAGGGGTAGGAGAAGGCTCCCTGCTGGTCAAGTAAGTGCAATTGGGTGTCACTGCTTTGCTCTGTAACTGACGTTCTAGCTGTTTCTAGTAAATTGTTCTTATCACAACCCATTGTCTTTACATTTTGTACCTCAAATTTTCCTCTCCACATGGCTGAAAGGGGAGGGGAGAAGGAGACAGAAATTAATGCTTTAGTGGGACCATTAAATTGGGGAATACCATTTCTAATCCACAACAACCCCAGACACTGAGGTGATGCAGATTGTCCAGAGAAGGACAACAGAGCTGGGGAGCACAAATTTTATGAGGAGCAGCTGAGGGAGCTGGTATTGCTGATCCTGGAGAAAAGAAAGGGGAAATTATTGCTCTCTACAACTGCCTGAAAAGCAGGGTGTAGTAAAGTGAGGGTTAGTCTCTTCTCCCATTTGAAAACTGGGAAAAGTGAAAGGATGAGAGGAAATTACTTCAAATTGCACAAGGGGAGTTCTAGATTGGATACTAGAGAAAAAATTCTCCACTGAAAGGTTGGCCAGGCATTAGAACAGGCCACCCAAATAACAGGTAAAATTACCATCCTTGAAAATGCTAAAAAAAAAGGTGTATGTGTCACTTAGGGACATAGAGATGAACACAGTGAGGATAGGTTTATGGTTGGCCTCAATGACCTTAGAGGCCATTTCCAATCTTAACAATTCTGTGATTCTGAGATCTGTATTCATGGCTTTATTGTGGAAACAGATTTTAATATCATTAGTGGTGGGGTTTTTTCTTAGGGATCATTTTCATTAACAATGCATAACATTATAAGAATAAATAAAAATTTTCCTGCTTCTACCTGCCTCAATTGTTAAGCAACAACCCATTTAAACCCTCTTTTTAATGGTTTAGGGTAGTGTCTGGCAGGAAACTACCAGTCTTTTCCCTTTCTTCCATGCTATTTCCACTTTCTTCCAAACTAAATCTTACAAAGTGTTTGTCCATTAAACTCACCGACCTATCTGAGTTCTGCAGTCAAAGTGCTGATAAAACAGTGTTCATTTTATGTTCATTATCTCCTGCTTGTGTCTTGTTTATGATCTGTTAGTGTGTTTAGGTGTCAGGCTGAAACTATAAAATAGATCTTGAGGTCTATGTAAAATTTTCTTTCTAAAATATGGTGTTAGTAAATAAATCAAAAGCATGAGTGTTACTTGACTAATAGAATACTAAAAGAGTAGAAAGTTCCAGCTCAGATTTCTGTGTTTCAGGATGCTCCACCTCTTCCTGTTTTTCTTAGTTAACTTTTGATATCAAGGGAGGTGAAGATTTTAGTCTTTAAGCTGTTATCTCAGTGTACATAAGGAAGGTCACTCATGGGAAAAGCTCAGGACTACTGTATTTAAAATCAAAGGCTGAGGTATTAGTACACCTAGGTGCATAAGCTTGGCACTGGTGAGCCCACAATGAGCCCAGTTTCTTCTGCTCTCAAACATGCCACCTTTTATAACTATATTTTTTCCTTGTGAGAGCAGCAAATCCCTCTCAATACCAATAACATGTGTCAAACAAGATTATTATTGTAATACCTAAAAACTTAGGAGAGGCAAGCATTAAAATCATAGTTATGTAGCTTAAAATGGCAAGGGCCAAAGTATTTAGGCATTGAGAATTTGTTTCTCTAAAACTTATAACACCAGGTTGAGCAGATTTAGTTTAGATCTCACAAACAAATTCTTCACTGTAAAGGCACAGGTTGCCCAGAAAAGTGTGGAAGAACCATCCCTGGAAACATTCCAGGCTGGGTTGGCAGGGGCTCTGAACAACCTGGTCTAATGAAAGGTGCCCCTGCCCACAGCAGTGGGTTTGGAACTAGAAGACCTTTAAGGTACCTTGTAATTCAAATTTTTCTATTAATCAATTAGTCTATTATATATCTCTTTAATAAATTAAGATTATTACTGAACTTTTAAAAAAATGAAAATGTATATTTTTGCAGGATTCTATTTTTTATTCCTTTTTCCCATGATCTTATGTTTCAATTTATCTTGCTTGAGGCTTAAAACTCTGTAATATTTCTGTTTCTTAATCTGTAAGAAATATAAAACACCACCTGTTCCCAGAAACAACTCTCCATTTGCATGAATACAGGCAATAACTTCCTCAGAATCAGATAACAAAAATGTCCTAACTTTTTCTCATACTGTATTCATGGTTCTCAATACAATTTTGCAAATATAAGTAAAGCCAGAGAGATATAAAAATGTAGTGGGGACTGTTCAGTGTAAACGAGGAAGACAATTATCAGTAAATTAACAAGAATATCCACAGATGCTCATTTCCTTGCAATAGAATTAAATAGTATGAGTGTAAATATCTGAATATCTTGGACCAACTCACCAATCTCTTCTGGAAGATGGTTGATTTGATTTTTTGACAGTTCCAGTACTCTCAGGTCTTGAAATAGTGCAAGGTAGGCTGGAATGGTCTGTATCAATGTATTGTACACATGCCATTCTTTTAGATAGATCTGTTCTTTCAGAGAATCTGGGAGTTCCTGTAAATAAAGTAAGAAGAGGTAAATAGAAAGCATGAACTTAGAATTTTGTTACCCTGTTTCCAAATAGGGAGAAAAATGCACTTTGCCTTAATTATCTTTATGTAGAATAGTAGTTTGCCAAAGCCTTACAGAAGCTGTCTGCTTTTGAGGAGCACTGCAGCTGTCTTCATCACATATTCATTTTTTTAACTCCTAATGCAATTATTTGCTCTAAAACAGAAACCTGTTTGAAGAACTCAATCTGTTTGGTGTCTCACACATTATTTCATTTTTCCAGATGGAGGATTTCTTTAAAACACATTTCAGTGCTTTAATTCACACATCAAGATGTAGTAAAATGCAGCACAGAACAGGAGAGTGCATAGAGAATATCTAAATAGGGTTTGCTAAAAAAAAATAAGTGTGATTTTGTTCTGAATGCCTGCCAATGTTTCAAAACTTGTTTTCCAAGAGGGAACAGAAACCATTTCAGATACTATACACACATATCAGTTGGCTTAACTTCCTAAGATGTTGTAGCAATGTTAAAAAAAATGTAGAGGATTTCCTTAGAAACAATGAAATTGATTTTAAAATTAAAAAAACAAAATTGAATTTTAAATCAGTCCACATTTGCAAGTAATTTTTTATCTAGTCATGCAGAATCCTTTGCTTTCAAATTTCAAAATAATTTTGAAACTTCCTGTAATTTATGAGTTATTTTCAGATTATTCTATTTAACAAAAGTCTTCAATTTATGAATGAAACCTAAATTTATAAAGTTTTATTCTAGTACAAAACTGCTTTAGTTAATTGATAATCACTTCAGATGTACATGTCTTTGTTTGAATTATGTCACCAAATTCCTTTAACTTGAAACAGACAAAAATCAATACCAAAAGTTGAAGGTCAGATCATTTAACTCTCACTTTCTTAAGCATTCCATAATTTACCAGTCTGTCCTAGGTCTTTTAACACTGTTACATGGTAACATGTGGAATAAATAATCTGGAAGAGGTTCTGCCACTAACTTTGCCCTGTATTAAGAGATGTGAGAGTTTTGGCTTTTGATTTTTTTATTAATTTCAGATTTTTTTCCTATGCATGAAGAATATGACACAGTAGGAATTACTGTTTTTATAAAGGATTTGCCCTCTTCTTTTTTTTTCCTAGATTTCATAGCTCTCCCAAGAAATTTGTAAGAATGTTGCATTTGAATTTTTTATTAATGATGAAATTCTGGATTAGCGATTGCGTTACTTAACTCTTAGTTAAATTAAAAGATCTAACTGTAATTATAGATATGATGGACATTGTCTCTCATTTCAGTTATTTTCAAATTTACACATGCTGACATAAAACCTATGGTTTTTTCGTTCTGGCTTGCTACTTTCCCTTCCACATTTGATACAGATAATTTCATTTCTTACTTCACCTTCTGATTAGGTATATGTGTGTATTGCATTGTAATCCATCTTCTGTATTTGTCAGTTTATGACAAAAAATAAAATGCCTCAAATGCCTCAGGGCTGGTGGTGAAAAATCTCTCCAACTTTGTGGAAGTAGTTACTATTTCTCATCTTCAGTACTGCACATTTTTCTGCAGCAAAATAAAATAACAGAGAACAACAGCAAATGCAATTAGTGTTCTCTTTCCTATCTTTAAAGACTGGAAAATTCAGCACAGGGGAGATAGTATTTAGCTGGAGTGTTATAGATATCTCTGTAGGGAAAAACCATGATTCAGAGAGAGAGATGAATAACCATGTTGGAGGGGAAAAGACGTCTATATTAACAGACATTATTTTCTACTCTATTTCTCCACACTGCAGGTCAGTCTCTGCTTTTCTATTGACCTAATGGGTTTTTTCACTTTATTGTCACAACACACCATCTCCAGCTTTTTGGTGGCAAATACAGCCCTTTGTCCTTTGAAGACAGCAGCCATGCTCTTCTCTGACACTGAAGGAAGAAGAAAAAAATTCTCCTTGGTACATTCAAAACAGTGCAGCACACAAAGTTGTCTACCCAGATCAAGATCAAACTCATTCACCATTTTAGAAAAATTAAGACAAAATGCAAAAAACATATTATTAATGCATAAAGATAATTTTAAAAATCTTTATGTCTGCATTAAGACTTGTTTAGAGCACCAAGATATTCCTGTGGAGCAGCAGAAATACACTTAGACACTACTTCATAAGAATGGAAGTAGATTCCATTCTTCTGCCAGCTGCCAACTTGCTTTCCTTTCTTGTGAATATTTCTTTATATCATATGATCATATTTACAATTTGAAAATGCAAGAATGCAAATACTTTGCTACTGTGTTCTTTTTCAATATTTTCCATTTTAAAATGCATTTATGTTTGTGTTGCCGAAACATAAATTGATGTGATATTTTGCTCCATTACAAACCAGGTAGGAATGGGAAGTGAAACTTCCACAAGCTTTATGTTTGCTTTACTCTCTTCTTCTCTTGTGTTCTTTTGTAATCTTCTGCTGCCATGCTAAAGCTGGCAGGCTGCTGATAAATTGCTGCATGAAGATTGACATTTGGAGGATAGCCAGTCTTCCTTTAACAGCAAAACAATACCTTAAACTTGTTTGATTTTTAGAAGAGGAAAAGAAGTTTTAAAAGGAAATAAATAACAAACATACAACCATTGCTGATTATAATATCTCTAATTGGGTGAGAATTCACCTGCTAGACCTGAGCCTGAAGTAAAACTGTGGTCAAAGCTCTAAGTTAAAATTTGGTTTCTTTTCCAGCTCTGCAGTGGGCCAAAATAAAATTTTGGATCCAAATCTCCCACTCTTCTAAAAAAATTTGAAGCTAGTTCCAGGCACTCCCTGCTGCTGGTCCCCAGCACAACACTGGCACTGTCCCTATGTCCTCCCTGTTGTGTGTTTTGTGTAAAAAGCTGATATACAGAAGCATTATTTGATTAGTTTACAGTTCTGCACAGAAAGACTTGCTATCTATCAACAAGTAGTTTATCCTTCTGACATCTGGACATCATTCTGCAGCCACTGGCTGCCCAGGGTGGTGGCACCCCAAGGCACTGAAGGCAGACAGGGCTGAGCTCAGCAGGGCCACAAGCTCTGGGACTGTGTGGGAGGGGATGGTTTAGGTCAGCTGCAACTTCTGTGTGGAGAAAGCAGGGTCTGCATTATGCCAGGCATCGCTACTTCCAGCTGGGTCCCCCCAGTCCCAGGCAGCCCTGTGCATCCCACCCCGCTGTTATAAGGATGCTGGCGTGTGGCCCATTGTCACAGCAGCACATTCCAGGGCCCTTTGTGATGCAGGTGCCTAGACACCACTGTTAGGTGGGGCCATGTCCTGACCCTGAGGTTACTCAAAGAGCACTAAGGCCTGGAGCGCTCAGTCGTAGGAGAACACTTCCCTCAGGAGGTAGCATCTCCCCTGGATGCCTCAGTGGCAGAGGTTGCCAAAGAGGCATAGGGTGAAGGACTGGGGGAATGGGACAACCAACTCCTCTTCCTCCTCCTTCTCTTCCTCCTCTTCATCTTTCTCCTCCTGCCCATAGGTGAGGCCCATGCAGCTATAGTCAGCACTGCAGGCAGAGAAGCACTGTGTGCATCTCACCACTGAAGCTCAAGAGATGTCCAAGGCAGCAGCTTCTGACTTCATCAAGCAGATGACAGCAGCAGAGGCAGAGAGCCAGGGAGCTGCTGCACACAGCCCCTGCCCTCCACCCCCCAGCTGCTCGCCAAGCCCTCTGGAAACCCACACCTGCAGCAGGAAATGGTCAGGGGCAGCAGCAGGGGCAGTCCTGGAAGTACCAGAGACCAAGAATGTCTTGGTAGAGGAGAGGGAAAGCTTGAAACTCTGTGACATCCAACACTTCTTTCAAGTGGAACACAATGAAAACCAAAGTTGGAGTGCTAGAAAAGAGAAGCCTTCCCTGCCCCTCACATATCAGGCATGGTCAGAGTACTGGGGTTTTAACAATGAAGTACCCCACCTCAGCAATCCACCTCTAAGGACTAGAAAAATGGGCCCAATGTGGACCCTGTTTTATAAGCCCCCCTGGATGGCTGAAATGATGGGTATGAGAATGACAACACCATACAGAGCAGCAGACAGAGAGAGCCAGGAATCTGCAATTCACACGCCCTGCTGGTCACACCCCAGCTCCTCTGCATCAAGCCAGATGGGAGCCCATGCCTTCAGCAGGCAGCAAGTAGGACCAGCAGCAGGACCACTCCTGTCAGCAACAGTGGCCAAGGCAGAGGCCTTGGCTAAGAGGGAGAAATGCTGGGAAGATAACAGAGACCACGAGCTGTCCCAAGAAGAGGACAGCACAGACAAAAACTGGAGTACCGAGGAAGAAAGTCCTTCTGTATCCCTTCCACATGAGGCAAAGGAAGAGCACTGGGACAGTCAACTACACACAGCCACAAGCACCAAATTGGATCTGCCAAGGTGGGTCTATAACAGGCCTTCTTATGACCTGGATCTGCTGTCTGGCTTGGATGAAGACATGGACTGGGAGGAAGAAATTTTTTTCAATGTTGAAGGCCATGACATGTGGGATATGAGGGAAAGAATCCCTTCCAAAGAGAACCCATTCTGGAAGGAAGAGTTGGTGGTATGCAATAGGAAGTCATTTGAGCATATCCTATGCATGTCTGCACCTACAGCTGTCCCCACACAACAGGCCTCACTCTTCAGGAGGGCACTTGGTGCTCTTTGCAAGTTGTTCCAGTGCCCTTGCATCACAAGACAGCCAGAACTATAGCATTCCACTACCAGTGTCAGGTGGACCTCTGGAGATGGCAACTGGCCCTAAGCCTGTAGAGAATCCCTGTAAAATCCCACAAGATAAGGGGCTAATGTGTATGTCTCAAACAACTATATACAGATGGATAGCTGTGGATCCAGCCACGTATTTTGGTAATAAAAGATAAGAATTGTTGATAATAACCAAGAATTTTTGGTAATAACCTGTCATGGGAAAGAACAGGATTGGCTGGAGAAGGCAGCCACACAG